AACTATGCCTTGGAATGTGTTATGTGAATACATGACTTGAATGACTATAAGATGTTTGATAAAATGCCCTAGTGAAATTGAGTGTGTTACTTGCATGATGCTATGTTATAACATGCTTGGGTGATTGTGAAATCATATGCTTAGGATATGGTTTTTGGATGAAGAGTGTTATTGACATATGCATGAAATGATATATTGAGCATAATGAGATATGGTAGTTATATACTTATGATACAATTGCATTGATGTATGAAAATGTTTATATGTTTGTCATAAGCATATTGAGCATTATTTTGTGTGCAATGGAACATCACATTGCATTTGCACGGAAGTGTCTCATTACATGAGTGAGTGCATGTTTGACGTCAATATACCACACTTGGTGATTGACGGAAGGCTTGGGAGAGTTGGGTCGAGGACTTAGCTAAGCCGCTTGGTTGCATGATGAATTGGGTTGGGGTAGCAAGAAGAGGCATGACGACCTCTCGGGTGCAAGACCCGGTGATTGGGATACGCACTCCCTTGGCTCGGCCCATAAAGTGTGTGGGTGTATTCGGAACCCTCGGTCGAAGTCCGTAAATTTCGTGTGGGTTGGAGGCCCTTGGTGTAAGTCCATGAACATCCACCCCTATACAAGACCCTAGAGTGATTAACGCCATTGTGTGTAACATAAATGGTGGTTTCGACTAAATTGACACTTGCATGTGTTGGGGAGCCGGAGAGAGCTCGGAATAAAGTTGCATGGGTGAGTGTCACTTCATTCCATGGCATAGCATTGTTGCATTCCATCATAGGATGCATAAGTGTGAGAAATGCTTGGTTGTATGTTTGTGTGATGATTACATGAGCATGTGCATCTAGGGGAAGAGTAACCTCTATAGGTTTATCTCTATTGGGCGTTGTGCTCACCCTATACGGGAAACAATTTCAGGTACGGGACACGTTCCGTTGGATGGCTCTCATTCGGGGGCTCTTGGTTGAAGAAAAGCCGGGTTGTGGCTTTTGAATTTAGTTTTTGTAAAACTTTTGGTTAATTTCCATTTTGGCATGTAAAAGTATGGAAATAGTTGTATTAGAACTTGTATTGACTATATTTGGTATCAAATAGATGTTGTATAAGTTTTGGATAACCTTGGATTGGTTTTGGAATGGATTGATTTGGGTTGAAATCATACACAGTTTACACAGAAATTTCAGACACTGCTTAGTGTTTGAGCCATAACTTTTTATTGTGACGTCCAAATGATCTGAAATTTTTACAGTAGGTAGTAGACACCTAGGGCTACAAAAGTGTTTTTATGAAATTTTCTCAATTCCACTTCTAAACAGGTCAAAACCGCACTGGAAGTTGCAGCAGAACAGAAACTGCATTTTCTGTTCGAACGTAAAGTGACGTTCGAATGGTGCGAGTTTTGAACAGCAAAACCAGCAGAGAACCAAATGTACTGGGAGCTACCTATTTTTCAAAACCAAGGGACGTTCGAATGTGAATAGTGCTGTTCGGACGGTGACTCTAAAACCGAAATTTTTCAAACTATGCACTAAGCTTCCAGGCTTGGATTTCTTTGATTTAAAGAACACCAATGGACTTGGATTTCTCTAGTTCCAAGGATACAAATGAACACTAATTGAGGTATATTGAGGCTTATTAGACCTTGGTGGATTTAAATGATAACTATTACATATATGCACTAATGTTAAAGTAACCTTGCATGTTTTGCTATAAATATGGATAATTGGACCCGGTGTGGTCAATGTTTACTTATAAATGGACCCGGTGCGGTCATTGTTTATATTGGGCCTCAGATGGGTCATGTGAGTTATGTTGCACAGGTTGGGTATTGGGTAGAGTTCCCTGTACAAAGGAGACTCTGCCCAAATTTTGTTAAGTTATGGACCTCGGTAAATGGGACATAACGGTGTGATATCGAGTCACTCGGTATTTACGAGTATTCCGCGGGTTGATGGGTAATCAACGGACCCCCGGGATTTTGGGGTGTCACATCAGAAGTTTCTAAAAACATTGAAAAGTATTCCTAAAAAAATGGAGAGAATTCATTAAACCATTATTTGATAAAAAAGAGATATTTACCCCAAAATCCCTTGTTGGTTTACAATAATAATTGAATGAAATGAAACATTTGGTTTTATTAACACTTTTTTTTTCAAAAATTTTGGCAGAGTTTCATTTAAAAATCGGACTTCCAACCAGTTAGTAAGAGCATCATTGTGAGAGCATAACATAATTTAAATTAATTAAAAATTCCCAACATGCTTCCATAAAAAATATAATTCAACTAAATTCGGGGTGATAATTAGAGGCCTATGAAGTCCTTCCAAATCAGGATACATCCAATACTAATATATACTATAACTTAGTACATAAAGTCATAACTTTACATGACAATACCCAAAATAATAATTCCTCTATGGGATGATCAAGTGTACACCACAAATGTCTCAAGACAACATTTTCAAACACAATGTGTGTTAACATTTCTACATAAGTTCTGACGGTAAATATAAAAAAACTCTAAAAGAGTCTTTCTAGTCGAGCCTTTCATAAATTATTTTATCACCTATGCCCCAGAATGTATGCTAGTGTCTACAAATATCAGTAAGGGCTGGGCAATCATAGCTCAGTAGGATAATCTTTTTCCCAAGCATTTACAAAATATTAAATACCAACATTTCACAAACCATATGAATAAGTAATGAAAGCTTTCTATAATTAAGTATAGGTACAAGAAAATAAGTAAAACAATTATAAAAATCTCTTAACACCTCATCATTAAAAATATACAAGGTATAAATTAAAGGTTTATATATTTAGAGCAAAACCATCATAACAAATACAATGCATGTCTCGCATACGGATAATATAATTAATCACACCGATTCACGTATGAATTATCCTTGGGGAATCTTTTGGGTCTTGCACTCTAAGGTCTCATCGCCCTTCTTGCTTTTCAAGGGGTACATATAGGGCACAATTTGTGACGCCACATAAGTCATCACCGAAAATCACTACCATAACCAATCTCTTTTATGACTATTAGTCGCCTTGACAACTCACTCAATAGGCCCTCAACCGTCTACTAATCCTCTACCTGTTAGTATCGAACATATATTTTTCAAAAATTATTATTTTTTATATCCATAAATCCTTTTGAAAATATATGTCATAACCTTGACATTTTATCAAACATGTAGTAAACTCAAATATCAAAATTTGCATTTTCAAAGCAACACAACCATTTTCCAAGAGAATAAGTCATATATATTATGGACAAGATCATAACATACTTCAAAACCCCCCAATTATAGGTTCAATCAAATACTCATAAATAAAATCAAACTAAGGTTTTAAACCCATAACACTAAAATCATTTTTATGCATATAGGTTCACAATTCATGACATACTCAACACTAAATCAAGATTTATAACAAGTATTTTGTCATTAAACATATAGTAAGTTTTAGCTAAAGAAAATACATGAGACACAATGTAAATACAAGAGAGTGAAAAATCCCACATAACAATCAAGAATTTTAAGTCAATTTCCTAAGATTTTCAAGCAAAGCTCTTTTGAGACTTTCTTCTTCTTTTTTTCTGTCTCTTTATCTTCTCCTAAGGTTCTAAGAGGTATTGGATGAGAGTGAAATGAAATAATGGAAAAAATGAAGTTGAAATTGGGGTTTTAAACTCGGCAGTCCCAAAATTTACTGTTTATGGGGCAAAAAAAAATGTATTTTTCTCTAAAATTACGATTTTACCACTAGACATCTCTAATTTGATCCCTATGACTACATTAAAGTTTTTTTGATGTTTCGAATTTATTTTTAATGTTATTTTAATCTAAAAACATTTAGTTTCATGATTTATCTCAAAACTAAAATTAATTTATACTTGAAACACTAAAAATATTATTTTACCCCTTCGAATCACTATATAAGCTAAACGTCTATTTCAAGATTTTCAAACTTATCAGATTCAATGGTAATATTATTTTGACTTAAAAAAAATAATATATTTACTTAATTACCCTTATCAATAATAAAAAACTTCCAAAAAATAAATTTGACATAAAAGTCAATACATGCGTACCTCAAACTTACGCAATTATTCCTTTAACAATAATTTGAAATTTCTCTCATCATTTTAATTAATTTAAAAATATTATCACGTTAATATCATTTATGTTTATATGAAACACGAGATCTCTCTCTCTCTCTCTCACAAACACACGCATATATATAAAATAAGGAAACTTATTTACAATAAAATGGTATTTAAGTCTTTCTATGCGTTAAGTGAATTTTTTTACAAAACATTTTTTTTATGTACTTTTTGACAATTAAATTCAATTTCGTGTACCGGCTTTCAAAAGTCCTAATTTAAGCTCTTCAAAAATGCTCAAAAAATCTAAGTCCAATCAATTTTTTTTTTGTAAATAATTTGGATCCACAATCCAATGTATATCATTAAAAACTAAAAAATTAGTGTTAAAAAAATACTCAAAAGTTAACTCATATTCACTTCACATTTTTCTCTTCCTCTATCTTGTAAAAAAAAAAGTTAGAACAAAAAATTGAAATTAAACTCTCTCTTATAAAAAATAAAAACAAAAATTGAAACTTTTTTCCGGACAATACTAGTATATCTTTCTTTTGGTTCCCTCTCACATAAAAAATTTAAAATAAAAAAAACTCATTTAGTGTTTCTGTTTTATGTCTCAAATTACTTTAAACTGTCACTAATGGTTATTCTATTAATTTGATCGTTTGATAGATTGCTGAAAATAATAAGAAATTGAAATACAATATTTCAAACTTGAAAAATTCAGAGAGAATCTGAGTGTAGTTTGTTAATCGAAGTGTTTGAGGATTTATATGAAATATTTTTGTGATTGTGTAATTTTCCCAAAAAAAAAAGGCTTCGTGAAAGTTGATGCCTCTTTGCAATTCAGAGGTCACGCTTTCTTTAGATTTGGATTTACCTAAACTTGGGGTTGATGGCGGACCATGAGCTGGACCCGAACGTGCCTTCATCTTCATCCCTCCACCTGGTCTCTGCCTTTCTCGCCATGGAACCTCCGGAGGTGTTGATCTCCTTGGCCCGGTAACCCCCTCTCGGGCCGCACACATTAGCCAACACAATCCCATTTCCTTGTCTAGCAAATTATTTCCTTTTTTTTTTATATTTGTCATTTAATTAGAAATATATAACAAAATGGATTGCGTTTGTGATTCCTGAAACCCTAGGCTTTGTGGAGGTGGTTCGGTTACAGAGAAAGTACAGAACTTCATTTGGGTCCACTGTATAAGCAAAGCTGTAAGTCAGTGCACTACGTTCCTTTTAAAAATTCGAAGAACATGAAACAAAGAAAAAAAAGACATCTAATTTGATGTCATATACAATGTTTCGATCTCTTTTTTTTTTTTTTTGAAAAGTAACCGAGTAACTGAGCAACTAATAGCAACTGAATGGATTCTTTGTCAGTTCGTCCCCTCTCTTTGCGCACTAAAACCTGAGAAGAATAAAAGAATTTTGAAAAAGAAAAATATGATTTTTTTGTTCAATGTTGCTTTAAATTAATAAAATTGAATTCTGAATATTTATGCTTAATAGTTGATTTGGTCTAGCTGAAAGGTGGAAATTTTAGCTGGTTTGTGCTATAGGCTGATTTCAACAGATTAAAACTCATTGTTCGGGCTCCCAACATTGATGAATGTATTTTTCAATTTTTTTGTTTTCTCTTTTCCTACATTTTCTCAGCTATAAATTGCCTGCTCTTTGAGTATTTTGGTGAGCAATGTGCTTGTTTTGGTTTGTTTAATTCTACAGGATGAGAAATTTTATGCACCTTACTTGAAAGGTTTTCTGAAAAAGCTTATTGATGAACTTGAATCAAGCGGTGCTGAGGTTTTGGATGAACTGTATGAACAATATGCATTTTACATGGCTTCATTAAAGGTAATCTTGTGGTTAAATTGATGACTTTTATTGTTAATATCTTTAATCTTAATCATTAATTATGTTCCAAGATTTTCTTTTGGTTGTTTAGGAGGATAATTTGGCGAAAGGAAATTCAAGGGTATGGAAATGGATTACATTTCTTTTTCCAAATGGTAGGAAGTTTATCTCAAGTATGATAAACGCATTTGATATTTTAACTTCTTTTTTGCACAAATTAATGTTTAATTGTTGCTTTGGTTTTCATGAAGACAATCTTGAATTCCCTAGTTGTCCAAAGCCAAGGAAGCTAGTGATTCCAGTACGATGTTCTCTCAACATGCTTGAAGGAGATACTGGGTATGTATTACAGATATCTATTTCCATTATCTAATGTTGGATCCCACTAAACTGCCAAGACTTGGTTTCCTTGTGCATGCCATCTTTGAATCCTTTTTTAAATCAAGTTATTTATGGATGACAGTCGATCCAAGTATTTAGGCCTTATTGACTTTGTGTTTTACTTTACGCTCGTGTAAGGAAAAGTGCAACTTTACCATTACAGTTGATTAGATAAGGATTTGGTGGTAGTGGTACAGAGCTTTGTTAAATAGGATTAAGCAGTCTTGCATGTCAGGATAGGTTATACTTGTCAGGGTACCGAAATTAGCGCCGCTAAATGCATGTTTAAGATTAGAGTGATTTGACTGAATTACTCTGAATATACATTGAAACCGTCTAATCTCAAAATTGACAGCGGTCAATTTGGTTATATTGAACTGGGCTCTGCCAACGTGAGTTAGCTTGAAGGACGGCCCCTTGATCGAGCTTAGCTCAGTTTGTTTCAGCTTCTTCGTTCCAAGCTACTCTTTTTTTTTTTTTTTTTTGTTGTTGTGAGATGCACTATATTTTTAGTTCAGGCTGCCCAAAAAGGATTACTATTGCCAACTAGGGATTAAAGATGAATTTAAACATTATTTATTCCTTTGCCACCGACATGGCTTGAACACTTTGAGCTTGACTTAAAATCTATTTTGCCCACCGTACAAGATGCTGATTTTGTGATTACTTTCAGGCCGCACTAAAACGCACCAATTTGAGCTCGAATTTTCAGCAAATCAGGGAGTGTTAGGTTACTTTGAATTCAAAGCTTCACCAATAACCTTCAATATGTATATCAAGAAGCTTTGATTGCAGTTTGAACTTACTAGACCAAATTCTACCTGTGAACTTTGACAACTTGCATGATCAGGAAATTCTGTAAATTGGAGAATAAATGGTTTAAATTGTGAATAATTTCTTATGCTTAGAATCTCTCAACATTATTATCACTGATTTTTACCAGTGGATTTATACAGTTGTTCCATTTGGCCCTCAAGTCTTTTCTTGTCAGAGTTTGTTCTTTCTTGTCCAGAGATATTCTCGAGTAAATCTTGTTTTGAGGTAAGGTATATTTTTTATATTCATTCATCCCTCTTTCTTTCTCTTATGCAAGAAAATAAATTTCGTTTTGAAAATGTCAAAACATTTGAAAAGTTTCTGTATAATGGTGACCAATACAAATTAGTGATTGAATATTGGAAAATTTTATACATTATATGACTAAAATTTTGTTCCCAAAATATTTCTGAAACACTCTTAAAATGTTTCCGTTTCTAAGCTGATTGAAATTATGTACCGAAACGATATTTCAATCCTTGCTCTTATGGAATTTTCAGTGCCTGTCCAACTGGAAATCTTGCACAAGTTGTTCGTGCTATCATTTCTCCATATTAATAATGTTCTCAGCCTTAACAATTTATAATCACATATTTAACTTTGGTTTTACGAAAGAATGTCAGAAACATACCTTATGTGTCATGTCTTGCCTTATTTTTCTTATTTCTTTGATTTCATGCTTTGTATTGCTTTGAATACATATAGTGATTTCTTTCTTTCTTTTTTGATGTGGTTTTTAAAATAAATGAACAGGTTGGATCAGGTGTTGGTTTAGTTGGTATTTGCCTAGCCCATGTAAAAGCCTCCAAGGTAAACTCTCTCTCTCTCTCTCTCTCTCTAGCGAGGCTCCAAGTTGATATGTTAATTAGACTTTATTCATATTGCTTTATTTCCTTCTCTTAAGTGTAGAAACATTGTTATTGGGGAGAGATTTGCAATAGATCTTTCCTCATGATTATTTATGTGGGATGCTAGACACAACCTAGTGAGGGTGAATAGGTTAATTCAATTTTAAGATCAAACAAATTCCAATTTTAATATAATCTACCACAATTAACAAATTCAAAGATTGATATGTCGATCATCACCTTGAACCCTTTTTCTCAACCCACATACTCTGTCATGTGAATCAATGTAGAGATATAACAATTGATCGATTAACACTATAATTCATCACGATCATGATCCTGCCAAATCCAATTGTTTAAACAAACCTTTTTAATAAATTGAAAGATGAACAATCAATCATTAAACACATGGTGCACATGTGTGCAATTGCAAGTGTACATGCAAAAAAATTAAAGCAATAAGGGCACAAACAATTTGTTTACGTGGAAATCCAACCACGGAAAACTGCGGAACCACTCAGGGTTCACCTAGCCTAATCCACTAGCTCAAGGTCAATTTACTAGTACTCGAGGTTTACTCCTCAACCAATACTATGGAAAGATGCCCTTTTTCTTTGGTAAATTTCTCATTTGGATTCCCTCACCAGAGTTATAAGCAAGTTCACTTGAATGGCTCCACCGCAATGGATCATTTAGGCTCTTTGAGCGACCTTTTCCACCAAGACCCATGGGATGCACACTTCTTTTTGAGTTTAACTACAAGCAAGAACAAGTTTGAATTGAAGATTCAAGGTGGATGACCTTTGGTTTTAGGGATCTAGGGTTTATCTATGGCTCTCTAGATGTCAGAATACTCAATGTAGGTTTACAAGAGACTTCTTGAGACTTACCCTAGCTTTAGAAGGCTTTCCCTATTTATAGGTTCGAAATTAGATTAATCTTAGGGACCAAGTAAACCAGAAACCACGAACAACTGCCTGAGCAGTGAAAAAATGATTATTGCTGGAATAAAAAAGGATCCAAGCCAGATTAGTGGAGCAAAGATCGTTTGAGCGCCTACGAGTGGCTAGAGGACAGTTTTCACTATCTAACTCGATAGTCTTCTCCGATTTTATCTCTAAGTGTTCAAAGATTGCTTTAGTCAAATGCAAGCGAGCAGAGGTCGGTCTCTATTGGTTTTAAAGCTGAAAACCAAGCAAAAATTAGTCATCATGAGCACTTAATCATTAGAAGGTATTGCTCAAGAATGGTCTGATAAATGGCTCAATTTTTATTTTCAAATCACATTTAAGGTTTAGAAAAGATTTTTTAATGAAAAACCCTTAAAGAGTCATTTACGGATTTTTTCAATTCTATTTTCATAATCCTAATCATCTTAAATTTAACATTTAAACCAAGGTTCTTAGGTCTTTAGGCCATTACATCGAAGAACACTTGATAAGGTTTTGTAGCTTGAACTCCTCCCTTCGTTGATGCATACAGATCTTGATCTTTGAAACACCATGACCATGAAATTAGGTTTGAGATTTACACAAGACTTCACGAAATTAGCTAAGACAAACATATTTCTAACAGTTATGCGTAATAAATGAAACAGGATCATCTTGTGTCAGTCTTTAGCATATTTTATCCTTGGTCTATGACTATTTCCAATGACTTAGTTACTAATTCCAATCACAAACACTAGCCGGTTTGTAGCATCTTTTCTTTCTTTGTGAATTTGTTAAGGAGGATTTTATGCATTTGATTGTCATGGGCATGACGCCTCTCTTGACTATTAACTGTTAAAATGGTAGACCGACTTTATGGTATAGGTGTGGATTACATACTAGTATACTACTAGTGGGGATTGTATGTGCTACTTGCATAAATTTCCAAACATCACATCTCTTTTGGACCAGTTAAAACAGTTTGTATTGATTAAGTTTGCTACTAAATTGGATATTTGAGTTCACAAGCAGCTTATGGATTTCTGATAGGGTAGCTGGATAGATGAATCAGGAATTGACTGCAATACAATATCAGTGGTTGTCTTCGACCAGATACTAAGGCTGTTCAGCCATGACAATATAACAAAGCAGATGCCTAAGCCCTAAGGAACTTTCAAAAGTGTAACTTTCTAGATGGTTATATGTTCCCGGAACCAAATGTCTTCCAATTAAAAGAGTGATTTGGATATTCATGATTCTGCTATTGTACTTGAATCAAATTACTCCCTCTGTCCCAAAATTTTTCAAGGCTTTTTTTAAAGAGTACAACCGTACAAGCACTAAATGCACCTTGTTCAACAGATTCCCATCTTTGTTTTACAGAAAGTTGTCAGAAGTCAGAATCATTTCAAAAGGATTACTTGAGGAAGTTATCAAATCTTGTATTCTGATTTGTCAAAATGGACTACTTTTTGGGGACATGCCAAAAAGAAAGGATGAACCCTAAATGGGGCAAGTACGATTCAACACAAGTTTCTATCCCAAAAACAGTGGCCCTGTTTGAGTCTCCAACTGTTTTAGAGGACAGGCAATTAATTCATCTCATTTAAATAATGCATTGCCCTTAAATTATGTATTGTTTTTGGAGAAACTTGTTAAAACCATCTCAAAAAGGATAAACTGATGAAGTTGTGACTTCTGCTAAGTTGACTTGTTCTAGTGGACTATTTTTTGTCAACCTACCAAAAAGAAAGGATGGACTCTATGTTGATGGTGTATGATCTGACATTTTTCCATCAAAAGCATACGGAGTTGAAATGTATATGTTTGTATTTCTTGTTTCCATGCAACACATTTTGGGGCAGAATATTTTTATGTGCATGTTATATAATTTATTTCTATAAAGTATTGATTCACCTATGAGTTCAATTAAGTGAGAGTTTTATAATGTGACTTCTACCTAAAAGAAGACCAAGAAGACTAGTGCATACCATGTCATCAGGAACATATCTATCCAATCTAAGAAATACAAGAGCTCGTAACCTTGTTTTGGTTAGATAAATAGTTAGGTGCTCTATTATTTTGATAGTTGCATTGTTCAGATTATTTCATGTAAGGTTGTGTTTTGTTGCTTGATAAATTTAATAAATTTGGAGATGGGGTGGGGCATGTAGCTCAGGTTATTGGAGCACGTGGCTATGAACAATGATGTCGGGGGTTCGAATTCCTCCTCGTTCATAGTCGGCCCAAAAAGGTAGGAAAATCACGATGGGGATTGCGATATCACACCAAAAGCTATGGAACTTGGGTCTAGGTCTTTTGTCGAAATGGAATAGCCTTTTCTTTTTGTTTATTATTTATTTATTGTGAATGATAAAATCATTACACATAGTATTCCTTGCCTCCATTAGCTAATTTTTATTTGTTTTACATCTCATAACATTTCTTTAGCCATGCTTGGGTAGAATAGCAGATCACGAGGATCAATGGTTGCATCTTTGATGCACTGCTAGTACTAGTACATTTGACAATTCTTAATTGACTAGTTGTAAATAGTCCCCAGCTTATGGAACAAAGGATTATCCCGCGCTCTCCAATTGTGCTTGTTTTCCCTTTTCTTCTTTACCATGAGAAGTCTTTGTCAAATAACGATAATGATTCGGCATTTATTAAGGAGAGAAAATCCATTGCTATTAGGTTGACTCCCCAAAAAGGGCTTTCTATAGAACTCACTCTTTAGAAGATTTTTTGTATGTATGAACAAAAATTAATTAGGTGCTATTATCGTAGGCATCCTCCCTTTTATGTAAGTTGTGTCCTTATGGTATGGATGCCGTGAGTTTACTTTTACTTGTCCATTGCGAGTTTACATAACTTGATCATTGACCAAATAAAAAGTCAACAAACTTTTTATTTCTATCATTAGCTATTAGGTCACGTTGTGTTGTGTATTATGTTGTGTATTGTCTTTTTGGGGGGGGGGTGGTGGGTGGGTGCATCACTCTTCTCGGGACCTTTTACTTTTTTTCATCAAGTGGGAGTTAAAATTAATTCCCATTTATATGTTTCTATCTAGGTGGGGAGGAAAGAAATGTCGGTAAACTCTGTACTCAGCTACAAAATTTATTTTGTACACAGTGGGAGGTTCCATTTTTCTCTTAATGGGAGTTCTGGGTATCGGTTTATATGGTTCTAATAAACCAACATTAAATTTTGAAACATCAGCTTAATCAGTCGTATCCAGTGGTTTTGGAAATAATATTTTATATTAAATTTTTTATTGCTTTTGTTGTCAAATCACCGATTATACCCCTACATACATGGTTACCAGATAGCCACATAGAAGTGCATTACAATACTTGTATGCTCCTAGCCCATGCTCATTCTATATTTTCTCCTTGGTTGATAATATGTATGGTCTTGGATCATCACTAATGATTTTTCTTTAGAATTCGGCTACTTAATTGATCCACTTACTTCTATTATGTCAATATTAATCACTACTATTGGAATTATGGTTCTTATTTATAGTCATAATTATATGTCTCATGATCAAGGATATGTAAGATTTTTTGCTTATATGAGTTTTTTTAGTACTTCCATCTTGGGATTAGTTACTAGTTCTAATTTGATACAAATTTATTTTTTTTGGGAATTGGTTGGAATATTTTTGTATTTAAGGGATCAAAGTAGTATCGGCCAAGTCCAATACGACTCGCCTACCTTCAAAACGATAACGATACACGTTACGCTTATATACCAGTATTCAATCGAATCGGCGTTGACTCGGTCATGACTTGTAGGTCTCAGATGAATTCAGATTCAAATCGTTTTGACTCGGGTGATTCGGATTGAGTTAAGCTGAATGATGGAACTCGATCAACAAAATCTTAGGCAAGCCCCAAAAAGCCAAAGAAAAAGAGAAGTGGAAAAGGAACTCAAAAAGCCCTAAATTAGGGGCAGAAAACCTACATAGAAGACACCAAATCAATAATCCCTAGATTAAGTTCCTTGTGCGATTAGAGATATGAAAGAAACAATTGAAACTATTTTAAAGAAGAACCACTAAATCGAACACACAAAGCCTTTCTTCTTCAGCACCAGACACAATGGCCTAGTTTCGTCCCTTCTTCCCAACATCGACGATTTTCTCTTGCACTCTCTCGGTGTCCGATCGCAGTTGCCCTTCTCTCATGTTCACGGATGTTATTGTTTTAATTTTTTATAATTTTTTGGACCTTTTATCTAGCATTTTTTGCATATCGGCACATATCGTGTTGAGACATTGCAATTGAAGTGTATCAGTTGTCACCGAGTTGATGGTCAATACCGTGATTTGGAACCATGCTTTAACTAGCCTTACTATGACGTATTCTTGGTCGATTGTTGGCTATCAATTATTTACTAGGTTAGAGTTGTAGTCATGTAGTCCTTGTTGTGTTGCGTCACTAACTTGATCAACTTGCATTTTTGTAGTTGAGCATTCATTTGCTTTTCTTGTGCTTAAGTTACCATTATAAAAACCCTTTTTTCATCAAGTCTTCTATAAGTCTATTTCTTGCTAGTGCATCCACGTTTCTGTTCTATCTTTTCTTGTATTGTTATTCATCTATCTTCTTAATTGTCTGACATTTTATAAATTATTGGCTCATGATTTTTTTGGTAAAACTTTCCTTGGAACAAAATACATTGCTCTTACGTTGACCCCCCTTTGGCTTTCTGTACCGGATTTCACCCACGAGAAGATTTCGTGTATGTATGAACAAAAATTAATTAGGTGCTATTATTGTCGGTATCTTCCCTTTTACGTAACTTGCATCCTTATCGTTTGGATGCTGTGAGTTTACTTTTACCTGTCCATTGCGAGTCTACTTGACCTGATCATTGACGAAAGAAAAAGGCAACACCTTTTATTTTTACCATCTGCTATTGGGCCATGTTAGTTTCCCAAAAATTTCTTTCCATTTGCAATTATTAGGTTTAAAGTTTTTGGAAGTCAGCTTCCTCTTTTATGTTGTGTATTTTGTGTGGCGTGGCTGGTGGGTGGATGTATTCTATTCGAGGAGGCTTACATTGAAACTACTCAAGGTTAGTAACAAATCTTCTTTCTCTAACTAGTCTTGCTATGACATATTCTTTATTCGATCGTCGACAATCGTATTTACTAGGTTAGAATATTAGTCCTTGTGGTGTTGTCCCACTAACTTGATCAGCTTGCACATTTGTACTAGAGCATTCATTTATCTTCCTTGTGCTTGACCGATAATTAATAAACACTTTTTTCTCATCTAGTCTTCTATGAGTGTCTCTCGTACTTCTTGCTAGTCCATCCATGCTTTTTATCTTTGCTTCTATTGTCTGCTCATCTATCTTCTGAGTTGCCTGAAATTTGGTAAATTATTGGCTCATGATTCTTTTGTACAACTTTCCTTGGAACTTTAGGAGGTCCAGTGATTTCACATCTCTCCATAAAAAGAATTAAACACGTAAAAATATGTTCTGGTGGATTTTTTGGACCTTTTGTTCACTAAATAGTAAATTTTGTGCAATATGTTAGTTTCTTTCTCGTGAAAGCTATGCTCTAGTGGATTGTTCAAACCTTTGCTCAATAAATAGTAAATTTTGTGCAATATTCATTTCTTTCACGTGAAAGCCTGAGTATTTTTTGAGGACCCATGGGAATCTTGCTACCCATGTCTATATGAACATTCATTTTTTGAAAATGTCATTGTCCATTTTTTAGGAAAGCAAGAAAAATAGTATATTTTCGATCAAGACATCTGAATTTGATTTATTTGCTGCAGGTGATACTTAGTGATGGTGACCTATCAAGTTTAGCAAATATGAGGCTTAATGTGGAATTGAATCAGCTGGGATCTAAAACTGATTTGTTGGAAAGAGTTACTCGTTCTCTAAATTTTGTGGGTGTCACTTCAATGATACTGTTTTTTTTACACTATTGAAGATAACTGCATTATGCTCTCTTGCTCAACAAGAAATTTTCTTCGGCTAGACCCAAGCATGGATAAAAGAGGAGGTTGCTTTAGGTAGCTAACAATTAATTAGCTTTGTTAGATGTACTATATGTGTGTGAGAGAGAGAATAGAAGAAGTAATGTCACATTCATCATTGAGAGATATTTAGGTGTGGGTATAGGGTACAAGGTATAATGGCCCTATTATTGCTTATTCAATACCACTCCCTCTCAAGTTGGATTAAAGATATCAAATAGTGTTAGCTTGGAACAGATCGTATGGACTTTATATCTAGTAGGTGAGTTGGAGAATATATTTGCTCATATCTACTGATTGTGCAAAACTCGTAGTAACCTCCTTAGATTGATGCTTTTAATGGGCTAGATTGAAGCTTTTAATGGACAAAGTGACAATCAACCTCAATGGGTTTTGTTCGTTCATGAAACCCTAGATTTGAAGCCATGTGAAGAGCAACCTGATTATCACATAACAATTGTATTGGAAGGGTTACTAGAATACCAATCTCATGCGATAAATTCTTCAACCATATTAATTCACACGTACATTTGAGCCATAGCTTTATATTAGACCTCGGCACTAGATCGTGCCACAATAATGTTTCTTATTTTTCCAAGTCTCCAGATTTCCTTTGAGAAATGTATAGTGGCCCGTGGTAGATTATCTATTTGATGGGAAAACTAAACCAATCTATATTAATAAAACCAACTACCTATAAATGCCCATAAGCTTTATATAATAATCCTTGAGCAAGAGCTTTTTTCAAATATCTCAAGATTCTAATTACTGGGAGTATTCTTGGAGATTCCATAAATTGACTTACAACCCTGACCACAAAAGAAATATCTGGTCTGGTGAGAAGTAATTCAATTTACCCACGAGCTGTCTACACCAGTCGTCTATACCTTTCTGGATGTTTAAATAACTCTCCTTGTTTGGTGTTCAGTTTTGTATTGGAATTCATGGGAGTGTCAACTTGGTTTTGTACCAGTAAGCCCTGTTTTCGCAAATAGATCTAAGACATACTTGCGTCGAAATAAATTGGTACCACCATTGGATCTAGCTATCTCAATTCCAAGTAAACACCGTAACTTACCCAGATATTTAATGGGAAATTTCCGTTGCAAGAATTCTTTGAGGGCAATAATACCTTCACTATCACTACATGGGATAACAATATCATCCATTTAGACAACTAAAATGATCATGTCAGATTTAGAATTCTTACTAAACACAGAGTTATTCACTTGAGTATTTGACATCGTTGAAGTCCAAAGTCTAACATTGTTTCACTAAATTTGCAAAGCCAAGCTCGAGCTGATTGTTTTAGGCCAGATATCGGCTTCTTTAATTAGTATACCGTACCACTAGACTTCCACTTAGTAATAAACCCAAGTGGTTGCTATGTATAAACCTTCCCAGTCAAGTCACCTATAGAAAGACAATTTTGACATTTAATTGAAACAATGTCCATTGGAAATTTGTTGTGAGAGAGAAAATGACCTGAACAGATGAGATCTTTGCAAGGTGAGAAATTTTTTTACCATAACCCACACCATATTGAGATTGATTGTTATTTTGTGCGGCATCATCTTCGAGGGATGTTTCATGGACACTATTTCTTCACCTTGGCAACTAGTTTTGCCTTTAATCTCCCAATATAACCATTAGGCAAGTACCTGATAACATATACCTATGGATTGTAAATCCACCACTAGTTTTTTTATTTTTTTTTTATGATTCTTTTATTTGTTGGAGAAGCAAGAAGCAGACCGTTGTCGCTCGTTCTATTGCCGAGACTAAATATCACGCTATGGTTTCTTCTACGTCGGAGATACTTTGGTTGCGATGGTTGCTTGCCGATCTAGATGTTTCCTTTTTTGGTCCTAATCTTATGTATTGTGACAACAAAAATGTCATTCAGATTGCACACAACTTTGTTTTCCATGAGCGAACTAAACATATCGATATCGACCGTTACTTTGTGCATCACCATCTTCATTTTGGGACTATTTCCTTGCCTTTTGTTTTTTCCACTATGCAGTTAGCTGACTTGTTCACAAAGTCCCATACCATACTGTGTTTTCGTTTTCTTGTTGACAAACTATCGATGCTTTCTACCGTTACATCATGAGTTTGAGAGGGGATGTTGAGAGTGTAATTATATTTATTTATCATTATGGGTAGTTTAGTCATTTCCTTATTATGAGGTTCCTTATATATTGTCTCTTGTACTCACTTTTATCATTATGGAATATTAGACTGCCGCATATAGTTTTTCTCTTCTTCTATCCTCTCTACATGTGACTTCTTTCCTTTACCCTAATTGATCTATGTTTTCAGAATAGGTGTGCTTTCTTTAGCTTAAAATGTTCAGTGTAAAGTTCTTCATCAGCCGTATGAATGTATCCCTTAATCAAGAGTCCATTTCAATCAAGGTCTCTTCACTACAACCTATCTCAGATTCCATCATTTTTAGGGTTGAGTTTTCCTAGGTCAAAAGTCTCAAAGTCGCCGACAAGGTGTGTAGGTCAACAATCAGCAAAATATCCTCCGTTGATACTAATATAGGAGTGCAAAGTATAAGATCGACCTTGTCGTTGATGTAACAAAGTGTGATCTAAAGGGACGGGGGGTGAATGCCCAAATAAAACTTATTTTTGATAAAGGCCTTTGACCTAATTAGTGAATGTCTATGTCAAGTTAATAGGATTTAATGTAATACAATCCATCATCCTTATCACTTCGATTGTGGTCCACCAATTCACAAACATATATGCAAATCGAATGGCCAACAACACAAGTTGGATTCACTCAAACATTCATCCAAGCATAAAGAAGGAATAAAAACTATATGTATGTAAAAGATAACAATCACACAATCCAAATAATTTTTATGTGAAAACCCTCTTGGAAAAAAGCACGAGATCAATCTTGGTCCACTTAACTTAATTCACTAGTTTTAAACTTAGATTACAAGTTCGAAGATTTATACCTCAACCAATTCTATGGCTAAAAGCTTGCTCTGTTGAATCTTCACTCTGCCAATCCACTGCTAGCATTTTGACAATTAGCATCAAAAGGCATTGAATAGAGCTCTATGATCCGTTCTTGGAATCCTCCCATTGGTCCTTGGTTTACCTCCTTGGGTCCTTTGTGTTGTGGGTTTGATGTGTTTTACAAGATCTTCAACAATAGATGCTTAAATTTTCATGGATATCTATTTTGATCTTGAAGGAATTAGGTCTTGATCTTGTACAGGGTGCGTTCTTTCTTGAATATGTAGTCTCGCTTAAACCCTAGTCTCTCTCTAAGCTTAACTCTAGTGGATGTCTAGTAGGTCATAAGAGTCATCTTCTATTTATAGGAATCGGAAACCAGTGTAAGATTGACGTGCAAGTAATTTTGTCTGCGACGCAATGTTCAATAAATATTGCGTAATAAATCTGAAAAATTTGGGACGTACATGCAAGAATAAGGATGAAAATAGTGAGTTCTTGCTGGGTGTTGCCCTTGGTCAGTGGGTCATGCTGACGGAGTAAAATATCTGGAGAAGTGTAATTCAATTGTTCCCGACACGATTATACATGTGGAACTACACAAGTATGACCGTTGTGAGGGGATGAATATGTCTTTGATCTTCTCATGGAAAGTCGGAAACTTACACCCCCCACAGCGGTCATATTTTAGACCTATAAACCTTTATTACCAATTAATTGATTGATTTGTAAATTAATACTTGATGAATCCTTTTTTCAATGAACAAAACCTCGATGAATGTGTAGATGCAAGATGCCTAAATTCAACAATCACAACCAACAAGCAAATCCATCATCTTTGTCCCTCCAAGCCCTTCCATTGCTACCAACCAAAATGATGGTATTCAAAAAATAGCAACAATTCAATCAATTCATCAAATTCATGGGGGGGGGGTGTGTGTGCCAAATAAAGCAATAAACAATCAACCACAACACAAGACAATTTATATGAGGAAACCACCTTGGAAAAAACCATTGGATCATTCCCGGTCCACCTAACCTAATCCATTATACTCAAAATAGAATTACGAGGTTCAAAGTCTTATATCAATTTCATGGTTAGACGCTTTCCTCTTTATCAATCTTCCCCATCGGATTTGGTCTTGAGTAGTGGCTTCAAAGGGCAAATCAAGCTCCATGATCCGACTTCTTATCTTTTGATCTTCAAGGATTCCCTCCCAAGATCTACTCGATCATCAATATACACCGTTGTGGGTTTCTACAAGATCTCTTCTTTTCTTGATCTGGATTTGAAGTTTGAGATTAATTAAAGTAGATTGACCTTTCAATTCTTAGGGAGCTAGGGTTTTTCTTGGTTCTCTGGATGATATATGGGGCTTTAGGAGGCACAATGAGTTACCCAGGCTGAAAAGGTTTGTCCATATATATTTTCCTCGTAATTAGAGTCAATTTGCTGCCCAAAATTTGAAATTTGCGATGGACTGCTTGAGCCAGTGGTTGTCATTGGAATGACTCAAAGGTCTAAGCCAGTCTAGTTGAGCAGGGACCAGTTGAGAGGTGCTCAGGCCACTCGAACTATTTGCTAGTCGATTGAGCGGCCTAGCAAGCCATCTCCACTGTCCAACTGTTAAGCCTTCTCCAAATTTCTCGAAATGTTCAGCGACCGCTCTAACAGTAGGCCGGCGAGTAGTGGTTGTCTCTACTGGGTTTTAAGCCTAAATCCAATCAAAAACTTGCCCTATTGAACACTAAAAGGTATTGCTCAACCATGCTCTGATTCATGATTCTATCTATGTTTTCAAATCAAGATTTGATGTTTCAAAAATATTTTCAATAAAAGGTTTTGAGTCATGTACAGATTCATCCTAAATTCATTTTATTAAAACCTAATGAGTCAAAGTAAAAATACGAAGGGTCACTTAGGGTCTCTAAGGTCTTTACTTTTCCTAATCTTTGAAGGATCCTGGGAGATCTAAATGATGTGGTTTGTAGCTTGAACACTTTCTTTCTTGTGGCTTTGGATCTTGAATTTGGTAGCTTCATGGCCATGGATTTAATAGAGATTTACATTGTGGCTTTATGGAATTAGCCAATTACAATAAGCAATTTCCAAACAAGTGGTTTGTTCTTAGTGTTTGAATGCAGATCTTCCACAAAGGTGGAACTTTCTCATGGAATCCTGTGCGGCTGACGTTAATCTTTGATCTCAGATACAATGCATACATCTGCCATGGGAATCTGTACTGGAAAGTGAAATCCAAGAATTCATGCCGGACATAGTGTAAGCACTCGTTGATTTACTTGCATGCTGACTGAGATTTTCTCAGTAAGTGTGGTTTCTGTGAAGTTTCTCCGCTGGTCTAAAGGGAGGAATGCTATGTTCATGGTCAATTCTTTACGTTGATTGAGTTGAGTACCAACAATTGGACAATTTATTGTTCTCTGACATGTTAATAGTCATTGCCAATTTCTGAGAATTGCAACAAGAAAGAAGCATCAAATACCTGTTTTAAAAAAAAATCAAAGGGTTGGTCTTGTGTCATTGGCTCTGGTATGATACATCCTGACGGTGTTATTCTGGAATTGATATAGCTTAGGCAGAGCATCATGCAAAATCATGATTTAAGTGTTTTTGGCAAACTGTTCAAGTCCATCTTGTATGCCAAGTCCTGTATTCCATAAATTGGAGTTTTCTGGAAGCAATAATTGGAAAATTTGAGACCATGCTAAATCTTTAGGTGACTGTGTTACAGTTGTTCTGTTGTTTGTCTTTTTTTTTTTACATTTTATTATGAGTGGCATTTCACTTGCTTCTCTCTACAGTTTGGGTGCAGATGTAATTTATAATCCATCATGCCTACCACATCTTGTTCGAGTTCTTGCTGTTCTTTTGAACCGTGGAAAATCCTACTCCCGAGATTGGATTGACAGCCGGGGCTTATCACTGGGTCAAAAACCTGAAAGAAAGAAAATGTGCTACAAGAATGAGTTGAACACAGATGATTCTGGTGATAATGATAGGCTTGAACTTGATGTTTGCAAAGGTGAAGAATTGTGTAATAGTGCTCAAAATGCTGAATATCTGTGTCATGCAGTGAAGGAAAGGCCAGTGGCATTTATTGCTTCTGTCATTCGCAATATCGACACCTTTAATCATTTTCTTACACTAGCAGATCAGGCAAATCTCATTGTCACAGAGCTCACTGAAAAGATTACGCCATTTAATTTGCTTCCTTACCTGAAGTCATACCAGCGATCAAGTATTCGAATGTTTACCATTTCATATTTATGTGACTAACATTTTTATTTATGCTGTGTCTGATAATGAACCAGAAATACAATAATTTGAGTGACTGGGTACAATTTGGTCTGATTCTGAGAATTTCATTTGTGCTAGTGACTTGGTTCAATTTTTAAACCAGAATTACAATAAATGTGTCCCCCATGGAGCTTGTAATTTATCTCCTATTGGAGTGAAGGCGGAGGGCCGTGCTTATCATCTTCATTGGCTCGGAATTTCTGCTGTTGAGAAGTAGTAGAGTTTCTGTACAGTTTATGTCATTTTGGGTGTACCCCCGTCCACCAACCCCCACAACCCAAAAAAAAAAATGTTAAGGAACTCCACAACCACCTTTTGCTCTGTCAGAGCTTCAATTATTCACTTTTACTTTCTTTTCTGAATGCAAGAATAGCAAAATACTTGTAGGATTATAAAAGCGGAAACTTCTGGCAAGTAGGTTTTTTGGATGGAGCTCAATTTTTTCGAGCTAGAGTTTCATTTGCTATGAAAGTCGAGAAAGTTGGTGTTCAACCCTTAGTGGTTCAGCATGGCCAAAGCATGCAGGTGGCAGGCCCAATGATTGGCCAAGCAATCGCCAACGCCCGTAACACTCCTAAAAGCTCTTGGAAGTGTGTTGGTGTGGACGTGGACGTTTGAAAATTCTGGAGCATCAGGCTCGGTGGTTGTGTGGCTGGTTGATTGAATGTTGGAATGTTGTGGGATAGGTGGACAAGAGTGCAAAAAAGCTTAGTCATGAGCAACAATAGCAGTTTCGTAAGTACCATTAGTCATCGGAATCCTTGATATCTACTGTTGCTACCTAGGTTTTGCTTCAAAATGCTATGATAATGGATGGGGGTCTCCGTGAATAAAAGCCAACTATACTACAGGGATCCGTTCCATGTATTGAATTTTTGTGGAAGAAAAACAGAGTGCAGAGTTATAGAGGAGGAAGAAAAAGTGAAGAAGAGAGTATTCTCATTCATTTTGCTCTTATGTATGTACATCTATATGTATTGTTTACAAAGAGTAATGAACAAGAAATTGCAAACCAAAACTATCTATCTAAATGTATTACACACGAGAGAAAATCTTCAAACTATCTCCAAGCTCCTCCATGTGCCTTAAGATTCTTCTAGTGTACTTATATGCATATGCTATTTCAGTGTGCTTGGATCCTGCTCTGCTGTGTGGTCTGCTGATCTGGAAATGAGACCATATGACTAGTTTTGAAAGTTCTTCCTTCTGTTCAAATTAATATTTTCACTATTAGACTCCACTCTATACCATTCAATCATGCGGAGAACGATAATTCCCCATGATTCAATGAACATCGTGATATTCTCTATACTAATAATTATCAAACTAGACACTTAATTATCTAAGGGATCGGTTTTAACAACAAAATTTTATGTAACGTTTTTGTTGTACTCTCTGATATAAATTATAATTCACCAATTCACTTCTCCAATCGAACAAAGTAGGATCAAGCAAAAGCTAAGAATTCTCAAGATTTCTCTTTTATAAGTACAAGCCCATGTGTATCCTAGATTCATACTTTTAGAACAATCTTAATGCATCCACATTTTTCCCAATTCAATCCACACAATTTCCTCCATTTCCAAGTTATTTGTTCTCCGCCACCAATCTAGATCTTGAATTTCTAAGCCATACAATCCCCTTGATGGCATCCCAACCTCCCCATTCTATCTGATTTACATATAGTCTAAGGCTCCCATGATTTAATCCAATACACCAAGATTTCTTGTAATATAATTAAAATCAAAACTAGACTTCGAAGGATTCAACTAATATCTCTGAATTTAACAACATTAGTTGTCATAGTCTTAACAATTATTCATGATCTCTGAGATGGTAATGATTCCTCAGTTACGAGAATAATATTAGTCTTTGATCCAAAAAACTACATTAAAAGTTTCTTCACGCATGTCAAAACCAATTTGCATAGTTATTAACATTGATTCACTAGATTACATCATTTAACATTACAACCCCCAGAAGAGGACCGAAGAGGGTCTTAGCTCCCAAGATAGGGAGGAGAGACGAACCAAAGAAAGGCACAACGCCCGGAGGCAAAGGATAAAGGAGTAGGGGGTGATGTGTGAGAGATATGTGGATAGGAATTCACTTGGGCCACGGAATGAAGTTGTAAGAATTATTGAGGCATGGGGGTTGAATGTGTGGTTTGAGGAAGTTAAGGGGTACAATTTGGGCTTGTGTTGGGAATTCTACCAATAGTTGTTGGTGTTTGGTGATGACGGGCAAAGGCTAAGGACCAATGTGAGGGGTAAGACATTTGAGGTGACCCCGGCCATGATTGCCACGGTGATGGGGTATGAGAGGCTTCCCCCGACCACCCCGATTTACCCACACAACATGGACGGGGGTAGGACTCTTAGGGACTACGTGGCTCTCACCTATGAGGACCCGACTACGTTTAGAGGAACGATGTTGGTTAGGGGCCTCAGGCATTTATATGGAGTAATGAACAAAGTGTTGCATTACAATGTTATGCCCCGGGGTTCAGAAAAGAACCCGAACATCGAGAAGCTGGCCTTGCTCCACGCTTTCATGACTAGGGTGGCATACCTGATTTTCTTAGAGATGTGAGAGTTTGCCCAAGCTGCAAAGCCAAAGACAAACCTCCCCTTTGGTATCCTTGTCACCAAGCTATGTGCTTTAGCCAAAGTGAAGACGTATGCCCATGATACATTGCTCTTCCCAAAGATTGGAGCCATAGGGAAGTCCAACAGTCAAAATAGGGCTGCCAGGATTGGGGGTGAGAGACCTAGGGCTAGGGAGGCCGAGCCGTCGGTAGCCGGGGCCTTCTTCTTCATCACCCCCACCACCAACATCTACACTAGCTCTAGCCCGCATTATGGCCCAGAGTATGGATGCGTTGGAGTCCACCATGCACAAACTGTCGGTAATGGTGACTCAACTATTCCAGAACACATTCCCGGGTTAGCCTATCCCTAGAGGACCTCCACCACAGCCTCCAGCTGAATCCTCGACCACAGCTCCAGTGTCATCCATGACTGTTGAGGTTGACGATGACAATGACGAGGAGTCAGAGTCTAAGGAGTTGGAGATCGAGGAGAAGGATGCGTTTGTTGAGGAGGATGACTGAGGATTTTTGTAGTTCTTTTGGTTTTTGGTTATACATAGCAGGTTACTGTTGTCGGCCAATAGAAGTATCTTTAGGTTTTAGCCGTTTTGTTTTGGAACTTGAACCCATTGTAAAGAACTTTTTGAAATGATCAATGAAATACCACATTTCGTTTGTTAATCATTGCCCAAAGCTATTTATGCAATTTTAATATGATTTTTTGGATTTTGAATGTTTGGATGTTTGTTTGAAAGAATGGATTTCAGTTTAATTTATAGCTTGTGGTTTAAAATAATGTTTGCTAGGGACTAGAAAAGCTCAAGTTGGGGGGTGTGATTAGCACAAAAATATGGCATATATTGTATGCTAATATGCCCTTTTATACTTGCTTTTGTCGTGAAATTAGGGAGAAATGCGTTTAATCTTCGTTTTGATGGAGTTTTGTGTAAATGTAGGTACAATGATGTAAATGATGTGAGTTAAGCCCCATTTGAAGTGTTTGAAGTCAATGAAGATAAGGGGGTAACTTAAAGGAAGGTTTAGAGGGTGAAGAAACCAAGAAAATCCAAATTGGTTGAAAACCTTCCGGAAGGTTTTGTCTACTGGATTAAACCTTCCGAAAGGTTTTGTTTACTGGAACTAAACCTTCCAAAAGGTTTTGTTTACTGGAATGAACTTTCCAGAAGGTTTTGCCTGTTGACTTCTTCATTTAACTGTTCTTGGACAAACCTTTCAGAATGTTTCTGTCAACCTTCTGGAAGGTTTTGCCCAAACTGCCCAGACAACCTGCAACTCAAGCTCTGCAAATTGGGGGTCCCATTTACACTTTTTCAACAAATCCCCTGACATTCCTTATACATCTAGAAGCATTCCCTCATCTCTACTTGGACTTTGGAGATTTGTGCAATAATGAGGAGGAAAGAGAAGAGGCATGGCAAGAGAGAAAGGCTAGGCTTGTCCTAGCCTGCACCAACCCATCACTTTCAGCCCCCTATGATTGGGATCACATCACAGGCTAATGGGGGGCTCCATGGATGTTTTTGGGGGGAAATTATTCAGCATTACAGGGGATAGAAATATACAGTATAACATAGAGAGAGAGTCGAAGGTAGAAGATGAATAGTGCTAGAGAGAGAAGTTAATTTTTTGCATTTTCTTCCATGCATTGTGTAAACCCACCCTTTTATCTTTATATTTGTATGTAGGTTTATGTAGCAAGTTATTATTTCTTTTGAAAATGTTAATATGAAAATTCGAGAAAATAGTAGTTAAAACTTAGTTTAGCTTGCAAATATATGAAATCGTTGTAATAAAACTTGTACCAACTAGGTTTGATGTACAAAAGCTTGTTGAATAAGCTTGGGTTGGATTTGGAAGGGTTTGGAATAGGTTCGAAAAGAAAAATAGAGGAAATAGACAAATTTGGACAGGACTTACCGGTAGTACTCTGTCTAGTGGATCCGAACTACCGGTAGTCAACAAGTAGTAAATATCCAATAGATCCGAACTACCGGTAGTCAACAGGTAGTAAATGTCCTATAGATCTGAACTACTGGAAGCTCAACAGGTAGCAAGTTGCCAGTGGATCCGAACTACCGGTAGCTCGATACGAACTACCGGTAGATAGTTAAAAAGTCGGGATTTTCTGTTTTAAAATTTCATTTTCACTCAATTTGTTCCCATTCTTTCACACCACTCTCACCCCACACCTCTTAGAACCCTAATGGAAAGACTTAGAGAGCAAGAAAGAAGGGAAAAACAAGAGTTCTAAAGGTGATTAAAGATCAAATCTTCTTGTCCTTCACACCAAAACCAAGGAGAAAGGTAGGGGGTTTTCTTCCATTCTTGTCCATTGATGCTAGGGCTAATATATATGTATTCTTTGACTCTAAATCTTATATGTTTGGTATGAAATCATCTTTCCTTGGTCTTTTTGCAATTATTAGTGTGTTTTAAACACAGTTAGGGTTGAATACCAATAAAATTTTATTTTCTTGATATAAAACCCTAGTTTTCAAAAGAGATGGATTTTCTTCTTGATTCTTCCTTTGATCTTGACTTTGACACTTTAGTGCTTGGTGTTGAGTAC